AAAAAAAAACAAACAAAAAAAAGCTCAAACTGATTCCAAAAAATAGACAATGTATTCAAATAAGCATTTCTCAAAAGATATACAAATGACTAATAATATACACATGAAAAGATACTCAACATCTCCAGTGTGTAACCAATACTCACTAATCTTTAGTGAAATGCAAATCAAAACTACAAGATACTATATCACATCCATTAGCAATGTCAATAACAAAAACAACAAAAATAAAGGTTGGCAAAGATGTGGAAAAGTTCAAACTTTTGTGCACAGCTGGAAGGAAGGTAAAATAGTACTAATTAAGAAAAAAGGTTCAATGGTTCCTCAAAATTTTTCAAATTACCGTATGACCCAGTGTGTTGCGATTTGGATATGAGATGATTCCCAAAATTTTCTGGGTTATTGCAGGAATGTTCTGAGATGAAATGATTAATTATGAGAGCTGTAACATATCAGTGGATTAATCCATTTGATGAATTAGTTATTAAAAAGGACTACTGTACTAGGTGGTAACTGTAAGCAGGCGGAGCATGGTTGAAGAGGTGGGTCACTGGAGCCATATCCTAGAGAGGTTTACCCTCTCTGAAGCCTCTTCACTACTCTATTTCTCTCTCTCTCTCTGATTTCTGGCTGCCATGAGTAGAACAGCTCTCCTCTGGCCACACTCTTCTACCATTATGTTCTGCCTCTATTTCACCTAGAGCAATGAAGCCAGACAGTCATGGAATGAACTTCTGAAACCATGAGCCAAAATAAACTTTTCCTCCTTTAAGTTATTCTTGTTGGGTATTCTGGTCACAGCAACAAAAATCTGACTAACACAGAAATTGGTACTGAGAAGCGGAGCCATTGCTATGATTACAACTGACCATGTGGTTCTGAAGTCTCTGAAATTTGTGGGAGGAGTGAGTTTTGCAAAGTTTGAAGATGTAGGCTGGAGAAGCCTTAGAATGTTCTAAGCAGAGTTTAATGAACAACTCTGGTGGAAGTTCGAAAGATCAGAATGTGGACAGGAATACAGATTGTAAAGTGTGCTCATAAGGTCTCAGAGGAGAAGAGGAACTCTACTAGAAATCAAACTAGAGACCATACGTGTTACATTCTGGCAAAGGGTTGTCTATATTTTGTCCATGTCCTGAAACATTCTATGCAGCTAAATTTAAAGATGATAAACTAACTAAACTGGTGGAGGAACTTTTAAGACAGCACAGCATTTAGATGGTGGGATGAATATTGCTGGCAACTTTTAGCCATGTTTACTGTGATACTGAGACAGAGCAGAAGGATGTAAAAAACTTGTAGTTTGGCCAGATGAGAGGTACATATAAAACTGAAGCCTAGCAAGGTGTCTTTGTTGAAGAGATTACTACCACTAAGGAGTAATTAACTAGTTTGCTCAGAGACGATAAGAAATTTCAGGAATCAACAAAACTATACTCACTGCAGGCTCAAGGGATACAGATGTGAAGTCATTTAAGAGATCTTTAGGGCACCCTGTTCAAACAGTGTTCACCGTGCTCAGCCACCAAGGCATGCACAGGCCACTGCAGCCTTGGTCCAAGGAGCCCCAGCCACATACATGGTCTTTGTGGTTTGTACAAAATACAGAGTTAGGAGGTCATGGAGGCTTCCACCAACACTTCATAGGAAGGCCTGGGAGTCCAGGGAAACTGTATCAGGATCAGAATCCCTGCAGGCTGCTCCTGAGATGGAAATGGGTAGAGCTATGAGAAGATAGCCAAAGCTGCAGTAGAGAACTCCTCCC